TAATGTTTGTTAGAAAAGAATAAAGTTATCTTAAGCTACCAGCTTCAGGAAAAAAGTAGTAGTAGTAGTAGTAGTAGTAGTAGTAGTAGTAGTAGTAGTAGTAGTAGTAGTTGTAGTTGTAGTAGTAGTAGTGCTCTTTTGAGCCTTTTTGACACAAAACTCTTGGCAGCCATTGCAGTCGAGGTAATGGCGAGAAAGAGTTGCAGCAACTTTGTTTTATAAGAAAACATGAACGAAAGTGTATCTTTAAATGAAGGTGTATCTTTGAACAAAACTGTATGTTTAGTGTATTTTTGTTATTTATGTAATATTAAGTTTTGTAATAATAAATATATAATATTATATTTTACAGTTTTACTTGCATTGCGACAACATCTTTCTAATTTTGATCTATAGCATTTATTTCTTTTGATTTTTAAATAATTTTGAACTTTACCTAATTTATATGTTCACATGGCCAAGCAGTTAGCGTGCAGACATAGGGAGGCGGAGATTGGGGTTCGAGTCCTTTCGTTGGAACCCTTTTTCTTTTTATTGATTTTTTTAAAATACAAAATAAAACACTTTAAAAAAGGATAATGAAATTGTTTTGTTTTCCATTTTGAAAATTAATTTTTTTTTTTTTAAATAAAAGCAAGCTTGCCTCACGGCAACTTAAATGATTTTAAACACATTAGGGGGGTTTAAATAAAATGTTTTTATTAAGAACATCGAAAAAACTTAGTTACATAAAATTGACTAATTAAATAAGTTGTTTAGTAGAATGCCAAGAATATATATGGCAGTCATTGTTGCTAAGGGTGATAAATAGACAAGTACATTATAAACTAATCAGGGTTTTTTATAAATTATAAACTAATCAGGGTAATTTTATTTGTAAACCTAATAAATAGGAAGATAAGATAATTCAGGTAGATATTGTTTTCAGTTTTTTTTCCAACTTTAATATCTTATATCAAAAAATATGACCATTCAAGTTAAATATCTAAATATGTAAACTTCAAGCTCTTTAATTAGCAATCAGTATTATTATAAAGTAGACTACATCAAATTTTACAGATTACTTTTACCTAAAAATTTCATTGCGGCAATATCTATATTTTTTAAAGCATTTATATGTCGTTTTAAAGTCTTCTGTTTATTAAACAGTGTTAAAAGATGATACAGCATGCCAAAGCGGTTGAAGTGCTTTGCTTGGGGCAAATCCTTTTGTTTATACAGTTTGTTTTTTTTAATTTTTTCCAACTTTCTAGAAAACAAAAAAAAAACATTTTTAAAGGCCTATAGATATTATATGCATTATATATATATAAAGATATTATATACTGTTGTGTTCATAATATATTCTTTTTCCAAAGACTGGCACCGATCTATCTGATCAAGCTGTAATACATGTATATAAATGTGACACATGTACTACAAAAAACAAACAAATGTAATTGTTAATAAGAAGTCCAGCTAGTTTATAAATCTTCATAATCGAGTGGCTTTTTACTTTTTATTTTTCATCCACGACTTGATACTTGTATTATTTGTTTTTCGTTAATCTCATCTAAGATATTTTTTGTTTCTGCTATCATTCGTTTCTTGGCTATCATCTCCGCATTATCTCAAGTTCTGTATGGAGCAAATGTAGTATACAATCTTCTAAGATGAATTTGATTTTGACTTCATATGATTTAGGGGAATATGTCCGTTGTGATTTATTTTGACTTCATATGATCTATTAAATAATAAAGGGCTACGCACTTTATTATTTTACCTCTAAGACTCCCTTCGCAAGTTATTTCGTCTTGAATTGCAACATTTTGGCCTAGCTTGAAAAAGTATGGTGCTAAAGAACAAATATTTTTATTGTGGTAGTTTTTTGATTGAATTCTTTCTTTAACGATGTCTCTAGATCTTTTATATGGTCTCTTATTTTGATTTTGAAATCTAGGTATGTTATCTCTTAGTTGTCATCCATGTAGTAGTTCTTCTGGAGATAATCCACATTTTATTGGAGTATTGTGCAATATTAGAATACCTTTAAAAATTTCTTTGTTTGACATGTAGCACTTTTTTATAATAAGTTTAACTGATTTTACAGTGGCTTCAGCTAAGCCATTAGATCTTGGATAGTGCAGACTACTTGTTATATGCCTAAATTGCCACTGTTAAAAAAATTGATGAAGCAATTTTAAAGTATATTGTGTACCATTATCTGAAACCAATTCCTCCGGGACACCATTTCTAGAAAATGATTCTTTGCATGCTAATATTACATTTATTGAATTGGTATTTGAAAGCAGAAAAACTTCCAGCCACAAGCTATACACAGTAAAATCCAAGATTCTTGTTTTAAGCAAAAAAAGTCTAGAAACAAGAAAAAAATGACTTGTCCACCACGTAAGAATATTTTTTCTTGTTTCAATAATTTTTATTATTAATATAAGAATTTTTTTCTTGTTTTAAGAATTTTTTTTCTAAATATAAGAATTTTTTTTCTTGTTTTAAGAATTTTTATTCTTAATATAAGAATTTCTTTTCTTGTTTTAAGAATTTTTATTCTTAATATAAGAGTTTCTTTTCTTGTTTTAAGAATTTTTATTCTTAAATGTATTCTTAAATGTAGAGTTGCAGCATTTTTAGAGAAATATCAATGTGTCCCTAATGTGCTATTGGTAAAAAAAATTTTTTTCATTTGTGATTTTATATATTTATTGGATAAAATGAAATAGTGTTTGAAAATCACAAATCCTTTTTTAAATGAGAAGGTATTTTCAAAACTGCTATGTCCTCTAATGGGTTATTCTATAAGTTTTCTCTGCTTTTTAAAGTTTTAAACTCTCTCAATTGGAAATTTATTTACCCAGGTTAATAAATTAAAATTCTATACTTAGTTCAATTAAAATGCACCAGAATAAAGTTCTAGTGCATTTTAATTGATCATGTTATAAAAATAAGGATAAAAAATGTAAAAAATTAAAATTAATTAATAATACTAAATTTATTAATTGAAAAGTATTGTTTTCTTTGCTTACTTTACTTTGCATGTATTTGGAAACTTTCAATTGCTTAAAAGAAAACACACACATATATGTCATATATGTGTATGTATTCAACATAAACATGGATATTTAGAAATAGTACTAATACTAATCTTAAGTAAAAAGCAATTGTATAATAATAGCAATAACAATATTAAAACAAATATAACGAGGTAACTAATGTTAACAATTATATTTATATTAATATAATAATAACAATAATAATAGTAACAATAAAATTGTTAAATATTAAATTTAATATTAAACAAAAACAATAAGTAATAGTGATATGAATAGAAGTAAAATAACTATTTATATTACATATAATCATACCAAGAGCAATAATAATGACCCACAATTAGCCCAACATTTTAAGAACAGTAATTACATTTCTCCAAAATAAAAAGACATAAAGATGAGTTTTAGTAGTAAAGTTTAGTGATATAAAGTGAATATAAAAAATAAATTATTCTATGAATAAAAAATGATAAAATATTTCATGATTTTTATGCATTGGTTTGTGATGTGATTTGTTATGCTGTACTTAACTGAACAATGATTTAGAATATATAATTTAAGGTTGCTAAAAGAGGAAGATAATTTTGAGAATTTTTTATAGAAGTAAAGAAATTACAGATTGGTAGAGGTAGGGTAACTTGTGTGTGATTTCAGACAAAAAGACAATTTAATAGATGAACAAGAGCACACAATTTGATTTTAAATATAAAGAAAAGAATATTAGAATTAGAGTGATATTCTTGAAAGTAAATTAATTTAAATATCTTGTTTATAGATAAGATATTCATAAAAAATTATTGGTTCATAAGTTATAAGTATATATAATATATCATATTAGAGTGTTTGTAGTATGTTTGAGAAATAAAATTTATATTAATAGGTACGCGGACTGATTTTTTTAAATTGATCCAATACTAGAATGCTATATATCATTGGAAAGCCCTCAAATACAGTATATTAAAGGTGAAAAAATGATGAAAATTAGACAATTCTATAAAAAAATATAACGTTTTTAGTAGCAATTTTTCAATATATGGATTTCTTGATAAAACTGTGGTCAAAAAAAAATTTCCTACATAAATTATTATAACTTTGACAATTCTTATTCAAATATCTATAACTTAGTATCAAAAGATAGATGTAAAAATGGACTATAATTTCAAACTAGTTTCTAGGGCGCATGGAGGGATCCAGAGGGGTGCTAATCTGCCACCTACACCTCACAAAAATACAATTTTTTTTTTAAATAGAGTGTTTTCTTTATAAAATTAGTAATAATTAGTATAGTATGTATAAATTGCGTTTATGCACCCCCTTTCATAAAGGCAATTTATACACCTAGAGGTGTATAATTTGTCTTTATAAAAAGAGGAGCAAGCCATCCCCCTCCTCTGTTGGAACCAAATAAAAAAATTTAATTACAATTTAACAAAGAAGTCTTTAAATGTTTTTTTAAAGAAAAAGAAATTAGAATAAAAAACTATTTTACCACATTACAAGATGCATCTGAGTATACATTATCATGTAAAGGAACAGATTAACCACTCAAACCTGAGAAAAAAACACACAAAAAAAAACAAGTTTTTTGAAATAAAAAATGTAATTATTTCTTGTCTGGACTTCTAGTAAATAATTTAATTTTTAAATGACATTAACGAAACAAAATGAATAATTTTTAACAATAGACACCACGTAAAGGTAAGCCAGAGCCAACTATCAATTCGCAAGCCACAAAACTTGTGGTACCTACTTGCAAGCCGCAAAACTTACTGTACTTTATTTGCAAGCAACAAAACTTGCGATACTTATTTTGCAAGTCACAAAATTTGCAATACCTATTTGCAAGCCACAAAACTTCCAATACCTATTTGTAAGCTACAAAACTTGCTGTACTATATTTGCAAGCCACAAAACTTGCTGTACCTTATTTGCAAGCAACAAAACTTGTTGTACTTATTTTCAAGCCACAATACTTGCAAAACCTATTTGCAAGCCATAAAACTTGTGGCAGTTATTTTGCTGGTTACAAAACTTTCTATACTGTGAGCATTTTTACATTAATTTCATATTCCAATTAAAAAAAACTTAAACTTCCCTGATATAACAACAGTAACTAGCTGGAGTTTTTAATCTTTTGACAGTTCAATATCATTTCCATCTTGTTTCCAATAAGAAATAGTGTAAATTCTGCCTTGTTATTTCTTGTTTACTTTTTTCAACTCTACCATTATAAATAGCAAAATGAAAACTTAAACAGAAAATTAACAATGAAAATATAAAAAAAATCTAATTACAAACAACAAACTAACACTTGAAATATTGCTACAAAGTTAAAGTAGTAAACAATAAATTATTAACTATTATTAATTTTTTATTAATTTGAAATTTATAATTCAAAATTATTAATATAAAACAATATTGATAGTATAAAAGATAAAATTGTTATTGAATATTATTAGTTAATAACAATTTTATCTTTTATACTATTAATATTGCTTTAACATTATTAAAACACTTTAAAAACATTAACTTAATGATTAAGTTTATGTTTTTAAAGTATTTTAATAAAAAAATTTATAACTGTTATTGACTATTAACATTAATTTATTGTATACGACTTTATTTTTGTATTTAATAATTAACATGTTTTAGATAATGGAATATATAAATTGTATACTACTTTATCTTTTAATTATTGTTTACAATAGCCTATTAAACAGGCTATTGTGATCAATAATTAAATGGTTTTATTTTAAAATGATAATAAGATGATAATAATATATTTTAAAAACACTAACAAGGCTTTTGTTAGTAAAGTAAATAAGTGTAAAGATAAATAAGTGTAACATCGCATAAAGTATGTGATCTTTACACTTATTTATGTATGGTGTTTTTATAAAGTTGTCCACTGATACTTTGATCAAAGTATTCTCAATTGTAACTCAATTGAGTTAACAATTAATTCAAAAGCAACAGTTTTACTGAAGTTTTAGTTTTAAACGTTAAGAATTTTAAAAAGATTTTAAAATTTATCAACATAATTTAGTTTTAAAAATAATTATTACTTATACTTTTATTAAAAAAAATAACTTACTAGTTGTTACAGAGTCCAACAAAACTTCATTAATTTTTTCCATTTTATTATTTAAAAATAAAAATCCGAATAAACATTCTCGCAATAACAATTGCTTTGCGAATGACCCCCCTAGCTGTCCCCATAATTTGCTATAACCAAAAAAAAATCAGAAAAACAGAAATTAGGTACCAAAAGCATTACACTTAGTAAACTGCCTGCTCCCTTTTTTTTTCATTTAAATTTGGCATTTACATAGAAAATTGTTTAAATAATACATAGAGCGGGATCAACATTCCTTCTACTACAAATTCAAGTGAGAACATCGTCTAAATTTTCATGCAAAATAACCCATAAAGAAGTTTAGTAACCATACATAAAAGTTATATAGAAATCACGCTTAAGTTATATAGAAATCACTCTTTCAAAAACAAATCTTTATTTGCATATTTTTCTAAAAAGAAATACTACAAAAGTACGTTTTACTAAGACTACCGAAAAAATGCAGTATGTGTGGTAAAAACCCTTTGAAATCTATCTGCTCCCTTTTTTTTTTGTTGAAATTTGATATGTGCATAGAAATTGCATGCAGAAATTTGTTTGAATAATAAATAGACCGGAATCAATAATCCTTCGACTACATATTTATGTGAGAACATCAACCTATTTTTCAGAACCAAAATAATCCATAAAAAAATTCAGTAACCATACATAAAAATTATATAAAAATTAAGATAAATCTTTCTTCTTTTAAAAAAGTATCTATCTGTATATATATTTCTAAAAAAAACTTAAAAATACGTTTGCCTAATGCTACCTAAAAATAAGTTAAAAAAACGAGCCACAAAATTTTAGCACAATCCGTTCCGTAAATCATGATTTCCGCGTACTTAATATTAAAAGAGATTTGCTTTTTACTAGTACAATCTATTTGACTTTAGAAAAATATATTGCTGGTTTAATACAGTTTTATTGATGTTATTCCATTTATGAAAAAATTGGGTGCTAGGTTTGAATACAACAAACAACATTTGGTCCAAATACTCCATTCATCACGAGTTTAATAAATAAGTTGCAGCATTGATTTTTACAAAACCAAAATTAAAAAAAAGTTGCTATATAAAAAATCTGAGATTCGCAGCCATTTTAAAATCTCTGAAATTTCTTATGAACTTTTTAAACATGTAGCTAAGATCCTTTTGAACTTTTTGAACATTTTTATTAAATTCATTTGTTATAAAGAAGTGCACAACTTTGGAGCACCTCAAAACAAATCGCTCTTATGCATGCTTGCAGCTTACATTTATATTATTCTGCTACTATGTCGCCCATACAAAAGACTTACTTTTATGCTGTTTAGATTTATGCAGATTTGCAGATATGAATATTGCATTTATTAGAGGCAAGTTCTATAAAATTCTTGAAGTATACGACTCTTTCTGGTTTGTATTTTAGTCTTATGGATCAAATGGATAAGACTATTTGATTATATAAAATCATGAACACAAGATCTATCAGAGGGTGGGGAGGATTTTCAAAAAGGGAAATTCAGTGGCTTTAATTTTTCTGAATTCTTTAATTTTTTTTAGGTATACCTGCAGGTATCTATTGATATATATATATATATATATATATATATATATATATATATATATATATATATATATATATATATATGTGTGTGTGTGTGTAATAAATTACTATATTATCAAGAGAATATATTACTATGGAATATGTTTACCAATGGTAATATATTACTATATTACCAACTTTACTACTTTCTACTTTTTTTTATAAATAGATTCTCGAGATTAAACAAGATAATTTGTATAAAATAAAATATAAAACTTTATTTTCGCATGTTTATTTATATACTCGTAGCGCCATATTTTGTTCATAACATATTCTTTTTCCAAAGACTGGCATCGATCTATCTGGTCAAGCTGTAATACATGTATATAAATATGACACATATACTATAAAAAACCAATAGGAAAGAATTTAAAACGCTTTTTAAAATTCTCTGTTTATGAGTAAAACAAACTATTTTTTAAAACTCTTATCAAATCCACTTATATAAGATATGAGTAGGTCAGAAGCCAAGGGGTACAAGTGACATTTTCATAGTTTTGAGATACAGCTGTTTAAAGTTAAAGTATTTTTGTTAAATATACTCAGCTGTTGTTATGTTTTTCCAGTAGAAAGCAGCACAGGGCAGAGATTCACTTGTATCCCTTGGCTACCAACAATTTTGTTTGCTTCTTTTATCAAATTCTATACTTAACTTAATTTTGGTAAAACTGTCACTTGTACCCCTTGGCTTCTGACCCACTCATATATCTTATAAGATCCGTATACAGAAAATGTGTGCATGTTAATTTTTTTGTTGTTGTTGATTTTGTCTGGACTTGGGCTTAAAGCAATTTATTTAGAAAATGTTAACATTTTTTATTTTACCAAATAATATTAAAGTGAGAAAGAAATGATCTATGTTGAATAAAGTATTATTGAAATGCTTGCTTTGGTAGAGACCTGTATTTTACTGGTTCAGAAAGCTAGGATATGCATATAAAGATAAAGTATAGTGAAGATAGGTATGGATTATTATTATTATTCCAAAAAGCTAGCGTAAAATGGTCTCGTCTGATGTTAAGCTCTGTTATTATTAGTTTACTAAATCTTGTTTCTTATATCAGATGTTAGGTTCTTGAGACTTTTGGTTAGTTTTCAACAGTGTCATTAACTAAAGTCTAACATTTAATCTTATTAATTATATAATATTTAATAATATTTAATTTTTAAAAAGTGCTAAACAAGTGGTTTCAATTTTTCAAAGTTCTAGAAAACACTTCGACCTCTTTAACTATCCTAGGATTAGTCTTCACTCTGTTATTAGTTTCCTTATATAAAGGTTTTGAGATTATTAATTTATTTTTTACTAAATGCAGTAATTAAGTTATTCAAGTAACTTTAAGGGTACCACAAAGTATCTTATGGTACCCTTAAATCTTTGCTCCTGTGTTGTTTCTTTTTTACAATAATCTTCATGAAAATTTAACATCTAAAGTGGCTCTATTTGTTGACAACTCAACTTTATACTCTTGTTTTAACAAAAATATTCTTTTGATTACTTAGAACAAGCAGCTGATTTTTAATCTGATCTCTCTTCTGTAAAAGCCTTGCTGTGGCTTATGGATTTAAAATTTGGACTTAAAATCTGCAATTTTTTTAGCCAACAAAACTCATACTGCAAAAAAATATTGCAATAATGTTGTTATACCTATATTGATGAATAACAACCCTCTTTGGGCATTGGCATTGGATTAATTAAAAAAGAAAGGAGACACTAGATTAAAAAAAATAAGAAAATGTTAGATAAATAAGTTAAAAGCGTAGATACTTTTAGGGAGGTGTAGGGTACTCAAAAAAGCGTATTGCAAAATTTGCAGGGGGCGGGGGGGGGGGGGGTGGAGGAAAAAAAAGCGTATGTACTTTATGGGGGATCCCCAAATAAAAAATTTAATTAGAAAATGCTGCATTTTTCTACTTTACGTTCTTGTATTTTTTTAACAAACAGCAAACTGATCTGTTTGTATTATTTTTCCCAACATTGCAAAAAAATTTTGTAAAAAGTAAAAAATAATAAATTATTTTTATTTTATAGGAGCAACTTATTTTTTACAGATATCTTTGTAATTTTTAGATTTATATATCTTACTTATATATCTTTTGTTTTTAAACAACATTAAAACAAATTTTAAAGCTTTACTTACCAATCTTATTATTTTCATACGACCAATAACAGTACAAGTCGGGATTATAAATTTTGATTATGAGTTTACTGTTTAATATTTTATAACCATCAAATTAAAAACATGAAATATGTATATTTTTATACAATTAATATTTAACAAAAATACAGACAAATTATTATTAATTAACGCAATAATTAACACATTAATTAGTGGCAATAATTCAAGATAGATGGTAATTTAAATTGTCAAAATGTCATAACGCATGTTAAAATACATATTATATTTGGTATTTCCCAATTTACATGTCGTTATGTATTTGGCATTTGTCTCTTAACATGAAAAAATTAAAAATCTAACAAAATTGACAAAAACAAGTTTTCAAGCAATTTTCTCTTCCAATTCCCATTTATTCAAAGAAAAGTTACAATTAAACTTTTATTTCTCTCATCTAAAAAAAGAACAAGTGATGCAAAAAAAAAAAAAAATTATACAACTTTTATTCAAAGTTTAATTACGTGGAACTTTTAGCTTCGGCTAAAACAGCAAGATTAGTTTTTCTCGGTATGCATTCATTATTTATTTAATTATTAATTCATTATTAATCAAAAAAACTTGGTTCAAACCTTTTTTTTTAACATTATTTTAAATATGAACACAACATGTGTTGGGAGTTTGGGATCCCTTTAATAGTAGTTGCTTACAATCTTGTTGGAAGTAAATTAGAGTTTGAAAATGTATAAATATATGCCATTATTTAATAAATAGTTTATGTAAGCATAAAATTATAATATATTAAGTATTATAAATTTTTTTCTAGCCCCTGCTAAATCTTATAGTTTAGTTGGGGCCAGGGTCGGGGTTGGGACTGGGTTTGAAAAAAGTCTCAATTTTAGCCAGGGCTGGGGCACCGGTTATTTACTAATATATAATTTGATATAACAAGTTGTCAGGCGAGAATCAAGATGCCATATGTCCACATTTTGTGTTTTTTCTGTTTATTATCAATAGATATTTAACAGTCGATGGAATAAGTGTCCAATAAATCTAGTCTCAAGAATGATATAACTTTTAAAAAAATTGAAAAAATTATTCGGACATTCTGGCAGAAAGTCTTTACAAATTAAATTTTAAAACTAGATTTTTTCTGTAACAAAAAATGGATATATGGCCTCGTGGTTCTCGGCTGACAAAAATATGACTTATAAAATTTAAAGCTTAATCTTAATTCAGATGGTTAGCACTGCGTTTGGAAACCTTTGGTCATCTCATAACTTTCTTTGCAGCTTTGTTTTGCATTATTCAACAAGAAAGTTTATCACCTGGATTAGTTGGTTTATCAATATCTTATGCACTCCAGGTGATTTATTTCTTCCTAAATGTTTATTTCATAAGTCAAAACTAAATATAATTAATAACTTTTAACTTGCTTAAGAAATATAAGTGCAATTAGAATTACAATTTTTACTATTAGATTTACTATTTTAATTAGATAAACTTTCAAAATAATTCATGTGTGGAAAACATTTGGCAGTAATTGTTGTAAAAAATATTTTCACCACAATGAGAATTTTTTTTTTTTAGATAAAAAATAGATAATTAAACTTTTTTCTACTTTTTGTTTTTCAATATTTTAATTTAAATATATTTTATTATGTTCAAACTTAAATTTATTGTTAAACTTTATAAAATTTAAATTTACTTTTTTAAACTTAATTTTTTTAAAAATTAAAAATTCTCCGTTTTACAATTTTTTTTAAATGCTAAAATTTCCAAACTTTGTTAAAGAAAAGGAAATTCTTTTTAAAAAATTTAATTCAAGTTTCTTTTAAATGTTCATTTTATATTTCAACTTTTTCATTTGTTTATAGTTTAAAATAAATAAGTTCTTTTCATACTGTTACGAAAGTGCTAATATACAAAAGTGCATAATACACATATTGCTGTATATAAATCAAGTTTTCCCGGGAAGCGCGTGCAGTCTTTATGTTCATTATCTCTTATAATTTTTACTAACATTGGAAATTTGGGAATATAAAAAAAATAATTTAAGATATGCATCAAATGCGGTAAATATATTTATTAAAGAAACTATGTTATCATTTTATTTAACTTATTCCATCTTTAACAAAATTTATTATTCAAATAATATTTTTTACTTATTTATTTCTTTTTTTCCTTTTATATAAGTATTGAGAAAAAATATCAAATATACCAAAATCTTTTTTAAAAGCAAAAAGACATTAAAACGAATAAACATAACAAACAAATAAATGTAAGAAAAAAAAATCAACAAAGTTTCTTATAGTTCTATTTACTTTTTTTAGTTATTAAATTTTTTAGTTTAATAAATTAAACTTGATGTTTCTCTACAATTTTGTTTCCTTTTTTTATGGATTTTTTTTTTCTAACTAATTTTTTTCCACGAATTATTGAAACGTAAGTAAAAAGTAAAAAGATGTGAACTGTCGTGGTCAGTTAGTCTAGAAAAATTATCGTAAACGTGGACAAATAAGGTGTGCAACCACATGCCCTTCCCGGGAAGGTTTGATAAATGCATTGCTGGATAAATCATAATCAAGCCTGTAGGTAAAATTATTAGATTTGTGAAAAATAGTTAGAGGATTTCTTTAGTAAACTTTTTAAAACAAAATAGAATGGAAGTCAATTACAAATAATAAACTAGTTAATGTTAGTTTAGTGAAAATTTTGTCAAAGTCAAAATGTTTAAAAAAATGTTAAAAGCTTTTGATTTTTTTATTATATTTAATGAATTCAACCATAAACAATTGCCTGCTCATTTAAAAAAGAAAAATAATTAAATTGTGAGAAAGCAAACATAAGATGAGTGTTTAAAGAAATAAATAAGTTTAAATAAGTATAATTTTTTTAGAATAAGAAAATATACTTTTTTTTAAACAACATATTTAAATTTTAGCGATTTTAAATTTTAAATATTATTTAATGTGGTTTCAAATTAAATTTAATTACAATGTGGTACTTTACAATATGCAATTGACCTAATTTAACTTTTAATGATGTAAGTATGTTTATTTTATTGTAAGTATATGTAAATCTGGTTATTTTGAATTAAATTTAATTGCGTTATCCTTTTTTGTTATGTAACAATATCTTATAATAAGGCTTCATTAACATCTTGTACTAATATTATAAAGTACTTTTACTATTGTAGGCCATGTACAATACATAACTGAGTGTTTTTATTAAGTAACTTTACCATTCTCTTATTAGAGAATTAGTTTATCTTATGGAAGCTGTCTGATGTTTTGCAGACAATATTTGACAAAGCTATATTAAACTAGTTTGCTTCATTTTGATTAGTTCTGCGCATACCTCAGCAGGTGCAGATCCATGAATCTGACTTAATCCAAGATTCGAAAAATTACGGTCATTTCCTTGAATAATAATATTTATATACCGGCGGTTTTTACTAGTTATTTATTTGTCTTTGGTAAAGCTAAATGCTTATTTATTCAGTTTATTCTGTAAAATTTTGTTTACGTTTACTTTCTTTATTTTATTGGCATAATACATTACTTTTTTTAAATGGTTTTGGGCAATATGGTATATCTGTGTAGCCTTTTACTTTCAATAGCATCTTTAAATCTTCATGTAACAAAATTTATTTAAAGAAATGCCATCTTTTGCAATAATTCTTGAAAATACAGCTTCAAGAGATTTGATGTTTTTTTTTGAAAAAAGAATGATTTTTTGATGCTATATCAATTGTTGGTTCTTTTTAGCGTTCTTCTATATTTCTTTTTAACACATTAATTTTATGTTGACTCTTTTGATGGCCATGTAAACCACTAGTGCTTCCACCTGCTGTTTTAATTTTTTTTGAGCATTGTTTACATATGGCTATAACTCTTGAATAATGATAGGAATTCAACTTTTATTCATTAAAAGGTATCATAGATCCTTAAAATAAAATTTAAAACAAAATTAAAAAAATATAATATTCTTCAACTATAAAAAACATTAGCAATTGAACCAATTTTGTTAATTGATTTTGCAAAACAAGCTATCTATTATTATTTCATCTATATTATTTCAAATATTTTTAATTCTAGTTGTTAAGTTACTCAGACAGAAGTTCAAACAAAAGATTGCTTTACAATCCACAGTCAAAAGTGACATTTTCTAGCCAAAACCACAAAAACAAAAATTTTATTAACTTTTTTTATTAAAAATAGTTTATAATATTGAAAAACACAATCTGCGTAAAAAATAACATTTGTTTTGAAAAAACTTTAAATTTCATTACATAATTACGCAAATTGTTTAAAAATTATATTTAAAATTTTTTTGCCGTTTATAAAAAATTTCGTTAAATCACCTAACTAATTAACAACAAAGATATTTAAATTTATATTTTAAGTAGAGTATTCTGTTGTTGGCTCACGCAATAGTTCAATGACACCAGAGAGTAGACATTTTTTTTTGTTATCCATCTTCTTTCTAAATGTGCTAATTAAAAGATCAGATGCACATAAAAGGCAGTGAAAAAGGTCTAGATTGTCTTTTTTTTTTTTCAATCGCATTTTCTTGTAAAATTTTCACAAAAGATCTTAAAAACCTTATTGGTAGCCTCTTGAGCCTCTTCAGAAAACATCTCTAATAAAAGAGTAAATAATTCAATGACTTCATAGCATGAATCAAAGTCTTATGAAGTATTTGGGTAATAGGATAGAGGGTTCATCTTCATATAGCAAAGTAGTTTCCCAACGGAATGTTTTAAATTTTGATGAGCTAATATCATAATCACATGACATTGTGGCCAGAGTAATATAAAGTCTCTTCATAAGATTTGCATCTATGTTCGCTTAGACATCGTATTGCTGAAAAAATTACCCAGCTGTGTTACCATTGTTTGATGTACCTGCTCCACCTACTCTTGGTTGGTCTATGACAAGACCCATCCTTTTTCAAAGTTCAGCTTGAACTTGAATCTTTCTCAATTTGACAATACTTTTTTCTTCTTCAGTCCTAGCCTGCCATTTCATAATTAGCATCTTGTAAGAGATATGGAGCTTTGGAAATAATAGTTTGAATCTTTTCATTTATTATTGTTATATTTACAATATGTTGTATTACAACTTCCTTCCTTCAAAATTGCTTTTGGAAATAAAACTTAATATTTTTGCATGTATATCATCATTTTGAAGCAAATTATTTTCCAGACATCTTCTATCCATTTTCAAATGACCATCTATCAATTTAATAATTTTTAGTTATTTTGTTATAAAGGAAATTTAAATATTTTGTAATAAGCTAGTTAAAGCTTTATATGGTTTTTTTTAGGTGTCATAACTAAGTAATTCACTGCCTTTCCTTTATTAGTTATTGTCACTTTTTTTTTATCAAATACGTATAATTTTATTGTTTTCGGAAATTTAAAAATAAATGATAAATAAATAGTATTGGTAATGTCTCAAACCTGTACAAAGTACAAGTTCATAATTTCGTATTTATTTCGTTTTAATTACTTTAAAATGACAGCATAAAAAAAGACAAGTAATGATTTCAATGCGATCTAAATGTTTATTGAGCAAATTATTTGCAGTAACTAGAAATGAAAAAAATAAAAAATATTCTTTTTAAAACTTAAGTCTATAAAAGAAATTATTATGAAGTCAAACTGCAGTTTTTTTGTTTTAATTTCTCATAAATTTATTATTATCGATAAAAAACATAATAATGAGAAACGTGGATGTAGTTATTTGAATTTAAAATTTTTAGAGATAAAAATTTTAAACTCAAATGATTAGAAATAATAGTGGCAGATAAATCAATATTAAAAGAGACTTTTTTTAAAAAAAATATTTTGTATCTTCATGTGCAAAAACCAAGGCAAAGATATTGTTGAATATCCGGGCTTTTAAATGATGGTTATATCCAGTTTCATTTTTAAACTATTTTTCTATTTCATTTTATTCTTGAAGTCAAATTTCTCTCAAATGATAACAAAGCATTTTTGCATACATTTTTGGTTTTACTGCGTAAGTTAAAAAAAGAGCTTCTGGTTTTTGTTTTAAAAATTTTCTTTTTTTTTTTTTTCCTGTATGGCTGATTTGAAACTGTTATGAAACCATAGAGAAATTTTTTATAACTTTTTATTATTTATTTTGGTATGGGAGTGTTTATTTGGTTGATAAATGTATCATGAATTCCATGAGTCAGTAATTGACTTTTTGACCTATTAAACTAATCAACTGGTTTCATATTGAAATATAATTGATCATAATTATTGATGGACGATATATTTTTTATATTCAGGTTAATGTTGATAGAAAATAATAATAACTGATGACAACTGTTTCCAATTGGTGACTTGTGATCTAAATTAGTAATAATGTTGTAATCTGAAGATATAATGAGATTAATGATAAAGTTTCGATGATGAGTTGAATTGCATACATGTTGATGTAGATAAGAACTTTTAAAAGTGTCAATAAATAATGAGAATTTTGCTGAGGTTGTTTAAAGATTTACAGGATCAGATAGTATTAAAATAGCTAATAGGATCAGACCAGACAATATTAGTTAAATTTTTGCAAAATTAATAATTTAAGGTATAATTTTGACAGTAAGTTTAAATTTTAACATTTAAATTATTGTTGTTTTTAATCGAGGTCATCGGGGAACAATATATGCAGCAAATTACAAGCTTTCATTTAAGTTTGATTTTGCACAAAATCAATATATGATTGCTGAAACCATCTGAGAGTAAGATGGCTTTGAGAGTATTTTTGTATATATGTATCAAGATTCCACAATGACATGTAACTGATTCTATATTGGTAAACAGGATAAAATTATTGAGCTTTGAAGGTTGTATTTTAAGTTTGATGTTTTTTGATAAGATTTCTGTATGACAAATAATGTCAGGGGATAAAATTTTAATTAAATTTGATCATCCTTGGTGTTTATTTAAGAGCATGTGCCCGTTAGAGTAAAAGCAATTAATAATATTTTTAGAGAGTGTTACTCTAGAGTTTGGTTTAAATGAGCTGTGGACCCACTTGAGTACATTTTGTTCTTGTTTCTTTTTTTAGTGATAAGTTCTACAGCAGGCCCACAGTGCAAAAAAAAAACCATACATTTTCAGTATCTTTTGATATCAGGTTTTTTTGAGCAAGTCTAACTTTATTTAAATGTGCACATTTTTCTTTTGATAAATTTTTGTTAATAAATATTTTAGGATTTAACTTGGTACACTTTTTAAGATTAGAGTTTTAGTATAAATATTCAAAAACTTATGCCTCGGTTTGTTTTCACAGAGGTCGAAGGTGTCTAGATGTTTCAAATTTAATTTGCAGCCTTAGTTTAATAGATCTAGGAAATCTTTTTTAGGATTATAGGATTATGCGATTTGACGCAATTGAACATAATGAGATATAGTTCTTGGTTACCAGACCTGTATTTATTTATTACTTCTTGCATTAACAACTTTGTTGATTTTTCACATAGAACATTTTTAGAGAGATATGAGATATTTTAATAACTGTTTAGATTTGGCAAGTGAGAACAATGCAGTTTAGTAATATCTGTGTAACTATTGCTAATACTCGAAATAATATCATTGCAATTTGACTGAGCCTACCAAACATATAGTCAAAAAAGACGTCTTTAAGATGTATAAAAAATGTTTAAATATTTAATACGTCTAAAAGATGTCTTTTTTAGACTAAATGTTTGCTGGGAGGTAATGTTAATATCAATATGTTCAAGTTTTTAAAAAGCTTGGGTCAATTTTCTCTCTTCAATTGATTTTAAATTGCATGCTTGGTAGTTTAAACACACTTTATGTAACAATTACTACAGATCTTAAACAAATTATGTTTAAAATTTTAAAATTAACCTCCATTGAAAGAGACCAGGTGTTAATGTATTTATTTTTAAAAATAAATTTAACTCAATGTCCCTTGTTTTTATAAATACTAAATTTTTTTTCCCTAGTTTTATATATTTATGTAGTATTAAATTTTTCCTATAATATATATAATATTTAATAACTTTTTGATTATCTTTGATTGTACAAAAAGTGAAATCATATTTTAACAATTACTTATTGAAGATGCTTTAAAAACAGAAATATAGTTAAAAAATGTAACGATAAGAAGACTCAGATAGAGAAAGAAAGAAGAAATAGTGCAGAGAAAACGTATCAAGAAATAATAACAAATATTATAAAAAAATAATAATAATTTTCAGGTGGAAGCAAAAATGTTGTTGTTTTGTAATTAAGTAAGAAAGCTGAATGACATGGAGAAAAATTTTGACAAAATTTATAGAATAAAAATTTCATAGCAATCAATCCCTAACAAGCTAGCAAACATAGTGCTTCAGTTTATTGATACAAATGAGTCTTAAATCAATTTTTGGTAGAATATCCAATAATGATTGAATATATGGCTAAGATGTGTGTTGATGAAAAAGTACTGTCCAGCTCAACTTTGTAACCAATCTTAAAATTTGAAATATTAAGAAGGTTACAAGCTGCATAAATGAATATTAGTTTTTTTAACTTTTGGACAAATTTCATTTATACAGGAAGTAGGTTATTATAGAATAAAATCATTATTAAAAAAGGTGCATGTCTATCTTTGTTAATAACAACAAAAAATCAAACATTTTTATTGCATTTTCAATTAAGAAGTTCTAAGATTTTGAAATAATGGATAAGTCACCAATAAACATTTTCTGTTTACCTCCAGAACAAGGTTATAAAAATTTAAAAGAAAAAGTAAAAATAACCAGGAAAACTCAAAAGATGTCTTTTAGCAAAACATCTGCTATAGCTTTTAACCAACCGCAACCAACAGTTATAAAAAATTGAGGAATTAAAATTTTTTACGTTTTTCTGAACTTGATTTTTTGTGTGTTTGTTTGTCTGATTAGAATCTTTGAAGCTATATTTAGCCTACTTCCCGACTAGCTAGAGCTCTGAGACTTTCAGAATAGGTCAGAACTCAATGACAATGCAATTTAAAACCAATTTCAAGCTTCTGCAGTCAATTCTCCTCTCAATTTTAACAAAATAAAATTTTATAAGCAGAAAAAATAACCAAACAAATCTAAAAAGTAAAAAATAATCTACAATAAAAAATGATTTTTTCTAAAAACAATGTTTTTCAAGCGAACTAAAAAGTAGAAAATAATTTTTCTTTGAGCTTGTCAGAATGTCTGATTATATTCCATTTATAATAATATTAAAAATATATTAAATTATATAATTTTGTCTCAAAAATAAAAAGTATACTTATATTCTATAAATAGAGAGTTTGGTTCCTTAAACATATAATTATTTTCATAATGCAGGATTAAATTTTTTATTAAAAGCAATAGGTTTGAAAATTGGTAAATCAATAAGTATATATATTATATTTTTGTTTTTTATTATGTCATTTCTAGTGAAAGAATATTAAAAAAATATGCATCAGCCATAAATCTTGCTTCATGACAAGCTCCAGGTTATCAAGTTTTTAATTCTTTAGACTTTTCAGGTTTGACGCCAAGATAAAAAGTAAAATATTCTACTAAATGATTATAGTCATTTTTAGGAAAAATTTTATTCTCTGATGAGTATTTCTCATAATCTTTTGCTGCTAATCCCAAGATGCTAAGCTCGCTACCAATTTCAAACTTGTCCCAGAACTCAAAAAGTTTAGAACAAAAATAAATAAAGAAAAGAATTAAATTTCTTCAGTATGATAAAATTTTCTCATTTTTCTCTTGATGGGAGTCATAAGATTTGCACTAGGTAAGATTTATACTCTGTGGTGGTTTTATCCCACTTCTTCTTAAAGTCAGTACTTGATTTTGCTTGCCTAAACTTCTTACATAATTTGGCTTTAATAATTGCCCAATATTGCTCAATTGGACGAAGTTCAGGACAATTTGCAGGATTGTATTCTAGGTATGGAATCGATACTATTGGCATTGTAGAAGTTTAACGTGGATTTGGAGTGATGACAAGACGCTAGGTCAGGCCAAAAGATTGCATTACCATTGTGGGCGTTCTACAGTGGTAATAAGCACTTTTTAAGGCACATACTCTAGAAAAAAAAACTTCATTAAGTAAAAAAAAACTTCATTAAGTATCTTAATACAAAATTAACAAAAATTATTTACAAACAACAGAAAATAAACATTTTAGCTTTTCTAGAAAATAAGCAAATTATTGAACCAGTATACTAATTCGATATTTGAGTTGAAAAATTTAAGTTTAGAATAACAATTTGATGTTTAGGTTTTGTAATAATATTAAATTTTTAGAGAATTTTTTTATTTATTTAAAATTTTTATATAATTTTCTTCATACCTATTGACATAATATTTATTTAGTATGTTTAAATGAATAAATGTATTTTTTTAATACATAAATGTTTTTAGGTAACACAAACATTAAATTGGTTGGTACGAGTGTCAAGTGAACTTGAAACTAACATTGTTTCTGTAGAAAGAGTAAAAGAATACATTGATCTTCCTAGTGAGGTAATACTTTGTGTTTGCATAATTATGCTCATTTAAGAAGGGACAGGTGTTGGTATGCATATTAATCTTATTGTTCTCAGACTTTAAATTTTTATTATTATTGTCATTTTGAATTTTTAAATAGATTTTATCAAACTTAAAAAAGCACTTTTAACATTAAAGAATGACAGTAAAAGAGATTTTAACATTAAAAAAAAAAGACTTTTTAAAATTAAAAAAAAGAGAAAAATTTCTTAAAATGTTTGTATTTCTTACGATGCAAATTATAGTTTGTAGCTGAATATTTATAAGTTTCATTTATATTTTTTAATATCTTAATAAAATTTCTCCACCAGTGTTTTTTTCTATGCCTGTATGTTAATACTTTTGAAATTCTTGTGTAATGCTGTGTAGTTTTGCTTATTTGGTTTTTAACTTAGTCATAAATGATTACAAATTTAAACTTGTTTATTTTAAAAATTAAATATTTGCATCATTTAATTTGTTATGTAAAATATTATAATCAGTTTAAATTGTTGCGTTTATATCTATTATGAAAGTAAATGAAATTTTTTTTTTTTTCAAAACTATGGTTGCTTTGATTTCTTTATTTATCTTTAAAAATCTTTTCTTTTGTTTTGAATCTAGGTTTTAAGCAAAAAAAAAATGCACTTCTTTTGTTTTCCATTGTAGATTTTAATTTTAGTTTAATAATTAATGTAAAATGTTGTTCTAGTTAAGTTAATATTTTACTTAAAAATCTTAAATTAATCAGGCAAATAGTTAGAAAAAAATTTGGCGCTAATGATATAGTATGTAGATTGCTATAAATTAGAAAGTTAAATTGGATTTAAAAAATTATAAATTTATTACTTTCTTTTATTATTTTTAGTTTCCAAAATTTATCTTAAAAAATATATTTATATAATTTAAAAATAATTGAGTTTTTTTTGTTTAATGTGCAAGTAAATTAAAATTAAAACATTTTTATTGCGTCATGCTTTATATGGTACTGGAAATATGTTTTAATTTCAAAATATATATAGTAATCTATGTTGCTTGAAACTTTTTAAGCAAGGAAAACCCACAAAAAAATCTAAAGCATATTCTATAACAAAAAAGGAAACAAATATTCAGAGAGAACAAAAATTAAAATTAAAAAAATATATATATATATAACATTTACAAATTGTAGTCAAAAATTGTTTTATTGGTCAACTTTAACTTAAAAATGTATAAAAGATAAAGTAAAGAAATATAAAATTTAAAGTAACTGAGATAAAACAAATAATCTAAACCATCTAAATCTAAACTGAGATAAAACAAATAATCTAAAAATTAAATTTTTTTTTAAAGATAAAAACATTTTTAATTAAATTTTTAATTATTATTTTATTTAGATTAAAACAAAATATTTTAATTTAAATATAATGTTCAATATATTTTATTCACAAAATGTTTTGTATTACAATTTGTATTACAATAGGTTTTGTTCACACATTTTGCAAAAATGTGTGAATCGAAAGTATTAAAATATTATATATAAAATATATATAAATTAAGAAAATAAACAAATATAGATAGATATTTTTAACTTTGTTAAATATAGATAGTTAAATATAGATAGTTTATTATTATGTTAAATATAGATAGTTTTAACTTTGTTAAAACTATATCTATCTATATTTTGTTTATTTTCCTAATTTATTTATATTTTATATATAATATTAGATATATCTTTGTAACAAAATTTAATTTTGTTTATTTTAGGGAACTCAAGTTATTCTTAATAGTCAGCTTCAGAATGATTGGCCAAATGCTGGGGCCATTGTGTTTCAAAACCTTTGTTTAAGATATCGTAAGGATTTGGCTCTGGTTTTAAAGAATATAACATTTAATGTGAAACCTTCCTCAAAAGTGAGTTTTTTATTCTTTACCTTTATAAATATCTTACTTGTCCTTATATTATTCTATGCTCTTTCTTTTCTAGATTATGTGTATAAATATATTGTAAGTATAGTTGGATCTACTCTGAATCTACTCTTTGGATCTAGCAGCCAAACTTTGAGCAATGTCTTATATTACAATCTCTGTCTTTTTCATTCAGTTGCTATCATGGTCTATCATAGTTCTAATGTCAGTAATTTGAGTGCAGAAAACACCTTCTCTTTGCTAACTTCATGGAAGTGCATTAAGACTTTATTTCCTCCACAACTTAAAATATTAATAATGCTCACAGCTTAAAAGAACATATTTTGAAATACTCAACCATTAAGAGATCTGACACTCTTTGATACCAAACTTAGTAATTTATCCTGGTTACCCTAAATAAAGTATATTCAGTCAAAAATAACCAAAATAATTGGTGTAATTGAGGTTGCTCATATGTTAGTACACAAAGTCTCAAAATTATATATTTTGGCCTAGTTTACTGTTTCATCAATTATGCCAATATATCATAGTACATAAAAATTATTTACCGGTAATACATTTAATGAAAATTGAATACAGGTTTACCATTAAATTACGGAAAACACTAAAAAACCTAATAACTTTATTTAAATTTAATTAAATTATTTCATTTTCTTTCTATCCAACACCCAATTAAAGTATTTCTGCTAAATTCAAAATTAACAAATCACTTTTAGATTTATTTAAAATTTATTTATGATAAATATTACCAATTTTCTACTTGACATAAATTTTTTAAATATAATTAAACACATTTATTGATTGTTTATAAACATCCTTATTTTTTTAAATGTCTTTGTATACTGATCAATACTTTCAATAAGATGAAATAAATCTTTAGAGTTGTTACTCAAACTCCCACTCATGAAACTTGGTACTTTTAATCTCTTTTATGGCTTTGAAGATGATAAATTTTTTTTATATGATACAAAAAACATGGCATAAACTTTTTTTTTTCCTCCTCCCAGTTATTTTAAATATTTCTTATTAAACACAAAACAGACTTTAAAAAATGAAAAACCTACAATATATTTATCTATAATATATATATTCAAAAATTTTATAGTTATTATCAAAACAGTTAATTCATGCAGTGCTACAGGTGTATAACTAGATGTGCTGGTAGGAACATAGTTTATATACAATTTAAATATTCTGTTGTTAAAAGTTCAATAAAAATCTATTTTGTAGATTTTAAAAAGTCAAGCACAGTATGTATAGTATATAAATAAATATTTTTTTAAAAATAAATTTCCTGTGAGCCCAGATAAAAGAACTTTGTTTCTTCTTTAAAAAAATGATTAAAGCTAAAATTACTGTAAACGCATAGAAACAGATTCAGAATATATGAAAACTATCAACAAGAATTTGTCTTCACTATTAAATGTGTAATGAAAAAAAAGAGACGAATCATAAAAAATTGCAAAACTATTAAACATAATCAATGAAAAACAAGAAAAAAAATTAGTACTTTGGTAAAAGAATTCATGCTAAAAGAACTGATTGAACACCTTACGGAATGGTTGCAGCAATAGATAAATGTGATGTTGGCAGCTTAAACTTTAAGAGTTGAAAGTAGATTAGTATAAATTTAATGTTATGTACCATTAGTGTTTATAAATTTAAAAATGTCTCAAATTGAGACATTTATCCTGAATGTCCAAGACATTTGATACATTAAAAAGAAAGACAAAACAAAAAATGTCTCAAGTTAAGACATTTGTCTTTATAAACGCTAATTTTAAACACTTTTTAACGCGTTTTAAACGTTAATTGAGTTCTTTACTACTCTAGATAATAGCTTATAAGGCATTAATAATGGTGTAAATTACAAATAGTGTATAGTTTTATAAAGAATTATAATTATGTTCAGTGAAAAAAAGTTCATTTTGCATTAAGAACTTATAATCAGTATTTTATGTCTAATTGACAGATTTATACTACGTTAATATCTAGAAACACACATTATTTCCAAAAAATATTTTTTAGAACTCACCACCTGCGTACAAGTTGATGAAAACTCTGTTGTTTTCTGGTGATAAAGAAAATCAACTTACAAAATTTAGGAAATGCAACAAAAGTGTAAAATTGCATTGTAGCAGGGGAAGCTATACCCATCTAAAAACAAACCATGAAATCTGAAGATGCTCCAAAGTCTTGTCTTGTGTCTCTGTGTCTTCATTGGCTCTGTTGTCATTGGCCTAAAAATTCAAACCTCTAATCATCAATTTTTTCAAAAAATCAAGTTGACAAGTTGTTTGCAATTTTTCTAGAATGCCCTTTAGTGTATTTATCACCTTAACTGAACTGAAAACATTGCAAGAAACTTGTTGGTTTTTTGTTCCAAAATCAGCGATAAAACTTTGAAATATGTTAGTCAAATGTGCAAACACAATTAAAGAAAGTCATATCCAAGTTCACTCAGGTCCAGTTTTAAGGCATGTGAATCAGTTTGAAATTTGATAAGTGAACATCAGGGGTAAATATTTAAATGTAAAATTTAAATGTTTACCCCTGATAAGTTTTAATGTTTCAAGGATGAATTTTGGCACCTTGGATTTGAAAGGGTACACTTCCTGCTAAAAAATTCAGCAAGTTAGTTCAGAAGTCATTAAAACAGATTATGTTATTACAATAAAAGTAGGTTAATTACAATAATTGTATTGTGTGAATTGCAACTAATGAAGCTTCTGTAATAGTTGCACAATCAACTGGTTGCATAAGACATTTTGCACGAAAACCATTAACTTCTACCAAAAAAAATCAAGAAAGATATATGCTATAACAAGAATAGCATGAAAATGATGTCAATGTTGACAACTATGAGAGCATTTACAATGGAACAAACATAACCAATGATGACAAAAACTCTAAACCCTGCTAGGGTAGCTTGGGCAAAATGCTTAAACAATTTATGAAATTGAAAAACTGCATTCACATGTTTCTAAGAAAACGTGTCTTAGAAAATTAATATTTGTAAATACCATAGTTCGACTGAATGAGAATATCAATCATTGGTTGTATGATCCTTTTCCATGTACCAGTGTTTCATCCAATAGTGGTTCTATTAATAACAATATTAATAGAACCACTATTTAATAATAATTAATAACACAGCAAACTTTTTAATTTTCAATACTTGAAAACTGCTAAGCCAACAAATGTTGGATTAGAGCGTGTATTTTTGGCGTGTGGCAACATTGTGACAAATTGACAAAATTATCATCTCTGGAGGATGAGACTCTAAATGCTTTATGCTTCCTATGATATATTTTACAAAGATGAAAAAACCGCAAAATTTTTTAATTTTTATATAAATTGACGATGGTATTAAACCACTGTGAAATTTTACTATTTATGTGAGAAATTATTCACTTTTTTCAAGACAAATACCAGAATTACACCAATATTACCATTATTATTCTCGTAATACCGCTTTTGAAGTTATTCAGTTCTAAAATGATGGTATTGAAAAATGATATCGGAATTAAATGTACTAGCTACAAGAACACTTTCTGTAACAAAATGAATTGTGAATTATCAGGATTATGATTTTAATAATGATACATTTTTTTATAGCTAATGAAGGTGAAACGCCAGTAAAAAATATTAAACCAGTTAACATATATAATATCATTACAAATTGACTGAATATTCTAAAGAAGTGTTGAAATGTATCGGTGGGTTTGTGAGGCCTATACTGTATCTCTAACTGATGGTTTTTCATGTTGATCAGAAAATTAAAGATAATCTTCAAGGTCCATCAGAAGATGTCACAGTAGTTTTTTCTAATGTTTAAAAATTTATAGTATTAATATCATTTAAGGCTATGCATTCCAACACATAAAAAATAAAAAAATTATAACTTTTTATTGTATCTTATCTTTAAAGTTACATTGGCAATTTTTTTTCTGAAACAATTTTGTAAGGACTGACTAATCACATCCAGGAACTTTCTTTATTATTGAAGCTTATTTAGATGTGCACTTGTATCATGTCTCATCCTCTGCAACAATTTCTTTAAAAAAGAGTTTGAAACAATCTGACCAAATGTGTGTTGTTTAACCATTAGTTAAAACCCAAGTGAATATTCAATTACCTATTTATAACACATTAATATAACATTTCTCATAACATATTAATGCAACATTTCTGATTTTAATATATTTGTTAATTTTTCATGATTTTTCAAAATCAGCTTATATATCAGGGTGTTAGTTAGCTCAATGGCACTGCATATATTGCAGAATGGGTGAAAAATTTCCAAAATTTAATGACCTTTTTTTTTTTTTTTGAAGTAATAGGACACTTTTTAATAAAAATTCCCAATAATTTGTAGAACAACAATAGATATTCCCAATATTGCAAAAACCTGGTAAGAAGTATATTACTGGCTAACATCTTGTATATATTATACATCACTGGTTATATTAATTAACAAAACACTGAAAAACAATTTACTAAATCCAAAAAACTAAACTTTTTGTCATTATACAATATATCAAGTACATACAGCATACATAAATATAATTCTACATAAATAAAGATCTATATAAATATTGCTATTGCCTTCTAAAAACATCATTTTTTTAAAACCACATTAAAACAAATAAAAAGAAGTTAACAGCCTAATGTTTCTTAGAAATATTATGTCAATATTTTGACTACATATTTTATCAGTGTAACTTTACTATAAAATAACATTTATTGTTAAAACTTCAGGTCACTTAACCCACAGGATACTGATAAATTGTTAATATGTTAATAATATAAATGTTATTATTAATAATAAATAAATTATTAAAGTGTAAATCTTATTAAATAATTAAGCAAAGTTCAATCATAAAAATAAAATTCTTGTATAACTTATAAAATAAATTTTCTTTAATATTATTCATGCTTATTATTTATATTGAACTATTTATAAAAGTAAGATGCAATTTGTCATTAAAATGAAATATGATATTAAAACGCAATATGGTATCTGATTTTACAACTGAATCTGAAGTTTACAAGAAAACACTTGCTTTGATCTTTTTATGAGTGTTATAAGTTATCTTTTTATGCTAAGTGTAGCACAGAGCACCTCGAATAAGCATTTAACCAGGAAGTTAAAATCTCCTTTTCTTAACAATGCCACTTATCTGGCCAGAGCATTGAACTTTGAACTTCTTGGTTATGAGCTAGAACTCTAACCATTGCACCACTGCTGCTTATGAACTTCAACAACACTGTTACACTTTTTCCACAAATTTTAGACAAATTTAAAGATGAAAGCAATAAATCTTGCAAAAATCACTTTTTTTTTCAACCAAAAAAGTCTGAACTAAAATAAAACGAGTTTAGATAAAACAAGTATAATTGAATCAAGAAGACAAGTAAAAAAAAAATATTTTAGGGAGTATCTTTAAAGTACATACGATGTAAAATCAAAAATAAAGGACAACCTCTCCTCTTTTGTACACACCTGTAAGGTTTCAATGACCTCCTATAAGGCATATGTATATACACATAATAATGCATATGTATGCTCTTCATACGTATGCATTATTTTTACAAAATTAACCCTCCTTACCTTCTCCAATGCATAATTTCTCAAAACATTAAAAACAATAAAACTTTTAGTTAACTTAACATTTCTCTGTTACACATCATAATATTAGTTTAATTTAGTTTATTTTGCTGTTTAAAGTTACATTGTGCAAAAATATAAAAAAGTATACAAATGGCTGGAGCAAGAAGAAGGCATAAATTAGCTTTATCACCAAGCCCCAGTAGTAAGGCTTCTAAATATCTGTATCATATAAGAAACAAAATTGAAAAAGAAAACAATTCTAAGATGTTAAGAAACAAAAAATGTAATAAAATAATTAAAAAGAAAAAAGAAATAGTTAAATCTAGTAATAAAAAATGACAAAATTTTCCATTCTGGGTTTAATACAGATCATAGCTCAAAATTAAAATGAATAAAATTTCTGTTGCAAGATCATAAAATATATTGTAGTAAATATAAGATAATTTACACGTAAATTTAAGATAACTTACAAAGAGTCAGCATGATTAAAACAAATGACTATAAAACAATTATATATAAGGTTTCCTGTTTTAGTTGGTTTGTTAAATAGAATAAATTTAGTTTTGTTAATGTTAAATGAGAGCCTATTACAAATGAACTATTCTTTTACTTTTTAATTGACTACTTTTAAGAAGGTTTTAATATCCTTATAAGAATAAAATAGATTGGAGTCATCCGCAAACAAAATAAAATTTAACAAGTTTGAGGTAAGAGAAAACAGGTAAGAGTGACAGTCCTAAGATCGAGTCTTGAGGAACTCCACATGTTACTATACTTTTTGTTTGAAATTTTTCATATTGAGTGTATTGCTGTCTGTTTGATAAGTATTCTTTAAACCATAATAATTTATTGTTTTTTATTCCATATTGTTCAAGTGTTTTAAAAAGAATGACATGGTTACTGCGTCAAAAACTTTAATGATTTTGACACAGTAACCATAATGAACTTTAAATGAAAAATTAATGAAGACTCCTAATGTAAAACAGTCATCATTAAAGGTTACTTGACTTACTAACTCAATCAAAGCGTGATCAGTTGAATAATTTTTAAAAGTCAAATTGATTGTTATACAACATGTTATCTACTGTTAAGTGTTCAGTCTATTATAATTTATATGTTCGAGTAACTTAGAAAAGCATGATAAAACTGATACTGGTCTGTAATTTGGAGAATCTGTATCATCACCAGACTTGAAAATATGCAAGACTTGGTCAGTTTTTAATTTTTTGAAACTGTATTGGATTGAAGAGAAAGATTAAAGATGTGATTTAAAGAGTTTTCTATAATATTAAAAAAAATAATTTTACAACATTTATACTAATATTATCAAAACTTGCAATTGTGTTGTTTTTTGAAAACTATCTAGAGCAGATAGCAAGTCATAAATATCTAGCTTAGATTCTTCCATGACCTTATCTAACATTTTAAAATAAGAATTATACGATGGGAAACTTGAATTTTTTCAGCTAAGTTTGAATCAATAATAAAAAAAAGGCTTTTTAGATTTTCACCTATTATTGACTTTTTGTATATTTATTGTTGTAAGATTTTTTTTTTTTACTGAATACTTATTCCTTTTTTTTTGTTGTTGTTGTTGTTAAATTTCTTTAATTGCGCACCATGCCTTTTTTGGCATGGTGCGCAATTAAAGATTTTTTTTTTTTAGTGTTGTGTCATTTTTTCAAATTTATAGAGTTTTATAAAGTTTTATAATTCATTTTTATAAAGTTTGTAGTTTGTTTCATTTTTATGATTTTTTTTTTTCAAGAACTTTTCCTTTTTTTTTTTTGAGTATTTAATAAACCTTTAGACATTCAAGTAATTAGAAGTGACTTAGTATTTATAACAATTTTTTTCTCAGGATATGCTTTTCATATTTCTTACAAAAAAAACTTTAGAGAAATAGTTCATAAGCATTTTGCCTCACTCGATTGCATTATAAGATCCCAATCAACGTTATACTTTAAAAGGTCTTGGAATTTTGTAAGGAGTTTTTATCAATTTTTTAAACTTGTGAAATTAAATGCTATTGTTAAAAAAAAAAAAAGAAATCTAGTTTTAGGTGAGATAAAGAACCAAAGATCAATCCGCGTTCATTCTCGCTGCCTTTTTTACCACTCCCCCACCCTCGTACACATTTGCAAGTTTTTTGAGTAAATCCTCTCCCCTTATACCTGCGTACATACTTTATAGAAGACCTCTTCTTTTTATTAAATCAATTATTTTTAATTTTTAACAGGTTGGTTTAGTTGGTCGAAGTGGTGCTGGTAAGTCTTCAATAGCAAATGCTCTTTACCGAATTTTAGAACCTTCATCAGGTTCTATTCTAATTGACAATGTTGATATTTCAACCATTGGTTTGCATGATCTAAGATCTCGAATAACTATTATACCACAAGTAATTGTTACTTTTTTTTTTATCTAAGACAAAAAATTTTATTTTTAAAAGATATTTAGTACTAAAAATTGTTCTATAATGTAGAAATTGTGAAAAAATATGAATTGGGTAAAAAATATGAATTGTGAAAAAATATGAATGCGGTAGTGGTGTAGTGGTAGAGCGCTCGCTTCATAAACGAGTGGTTCCGAGTTCGATCCCCACCACGTCCCTGGTAGTACCGCGCTCAACTCGTTTCTCCGTGCAGCGGCCTTGTTTGTCAAGGTTCGTGTTTCGGAGTTATAGAGTTGAGAGAGAGTTATAGCCACAAAATAAGTAGCCTCCTCGTCTGTAGTGGCCTTCTCGGCCTTGAGGAGGTGAAGTAAAATAAAAAAAAAAATAAAAAAAAAAAAAATTCTGTATATAAGTAAATGCATGTAAAAACAATTATATATATATATATATATATATATATATATATATATATATATATATATATATATATATATATATATATATATATATATATATATATATATATATATATATATATATATATATATATATATATATGCACTTGTAATTTTTTTATTACAGACAACTTTAAATCAATTTAAATTGTAAAGTAATTTTAATTACGAACTAGTTTTTTTTTTTAATGAAAGGTAAAACCAATTAAATTTAACTAGAATGTCAAATATTTGTCAAATTACCTGTTTTTTTGATTAATTAATTAGAAGTTTAATGAGTACTCTGAAAAATGTGTGAAATTACGCATGCAAAAGTATTTTTGTCCCTTTTTGACAATTTTTTGGGACGACCAAATCGACTTTTGTCTTCAACTGCTCCAAACTCATTATGGTTTTTTAGCGTTGTTCTAATGCTGCTTAATAATGTAGCACTCATAATAATGTATTAGTACAATTTTTTACTTCCTTTGAGAAAAAGTTTTTTGGTTAATTTTTGTTAATTACTCTCTGCTGATTAATAATAGTCAATAAAAAATATAAGAAGCATAAGTTGAAGTGACAAATATATCATTTGAAATACAGTTAGTTAAAACTTTAAAACTTAAACAACAAAAATATGGGTTTAAAGAGTATATCAATTGAAATAAAGTGGCAAGTTGTTGGCCTTCACAAAAGTGGTCTCAGCGATCGAGAAATCGGATGTCAACTTGTAATCTGTGAATGCAGCATTAGAACAACGCTAAAAAACCATAATGAGTTTGGAGCAGTCGAAGACAACAGTCGATTTGGTCGTCACAAAAAATTGTCAAAAAGGGACAAAAATAAAGCAATTATGCTTGCTAGACGCAACCCAAACATGAGTATTGCTGAAATTGTCTCAGACTTGAATACAGCGTTAGGTACACATCAAGTTAGCTGATCAACAATTAGCGAGCTGATGAAGAAAAGACAACTCAATTCATACCTTGCAACAAAGAAGCCACTACTAAACATCAAAGACCGTCTCAAGCGAAGAAAACAGTGCAAAGAGAGAGCTGCATGGATTGTAGAGCAATGGAGAAAAGTTTTTTCTCAGACGAGTCAAATTTTGAACTTCCTAATCACAAAAAAAGAGTTGTCGTAAGAATATACAAAAACAAAAAATATAATCCTCGTTTTATCATGTCAAGAGTTCAAGAAGGAGGAGGTTCAGTTGGCATTTGGGGCTGCATTGCTGAATCTAGCAATGTCCTGGCGCATCTTTACACTGATCACCTTAGTCAACATCGATATAGAGAGAAAATTATTTAAAGCCATCAATGGACATTTTTAAAGCTGACTCCACCTGGTAATTTTAAAAAGATAAGGAATACCGTGCCACATGAACTAATCAAAAAATTTATAGATTCTATGCCGCGTAGAGTCTTGGCATGCCTTAAAAACAAAGGTGGTCACATAAAATATTAAACTTTCCTAAAATCTTTGAAAAACTGTAAGTGCGCAAATACTTTTGCACATTTTTTTATTATTGTTTTTATCACTCTTATTGTATTCTAATTAAATTCAAGATAATAATACATAAATACTTTTATCTATTTTACCATAGTCATAATATACATAGTCCGGCCAGTTTAAGAGCGCTATTGTTTATCTTATTGTTAGCTTTTTTTTAGAACCCAGTCTACCAATGAGTGCACACTTTTTGTAAACAAATGCGCATTAAGAAGGAAGATTATTGATTTATCCTTGATTTTTGCAAATGCCTTGTCTTAATTGTTACATATTTGGTTCTGGAACTTTTCGAAGAAGTATAAATGTTTTTCTATTGGAAATATTTTCTTCCGATGATGATGTTTATAACAAAGAATCAAGAAGAAAAGTTTTACAAATTATAAATAAAAATAAATCTTTAGTTACAATATATTAAAACTAAAGATAAAATATGATATCAGATAACTTTTTTTTGATCGACAGATTTACTACCTTCAATAAATCAACCAGTTAAGAGCTTTTCATTGGCAAATTCTTCTTTAGGCAGAATATAGTAGTTTCTCATACTACTAAAGCTCAACTTAAAGAAACCAACTTTTTCTTCTGAAGCAGATGAAAGTCAATATTTAAATATTTACATTAAAAAAGATCAATGTTTATTACAGTTGTGCCTAACCTTATTTCATTTTTAAAAAGTATCAAAGCTATTTTGTGGCTATTTTAATAGCTAAAATCTTATAAAAACATTATTTGGTAAAAATTAAAAGATAAAAATTTTTTATCTTCAATACAAGAATATCACAAGATTTAATGGTTTATGCAAAGCTTATATATATATATATATATATATATATATATATATATATATATATATATATATATATATATATATATATATATATATATATATATATATATATATATATATATATATATATGTATGTATGTATATGAAAATACATATAAATATGTATAGGCTTATATATATACATATGTATATATGTCTGTGTATATATATATATATATATATATATATATATATATATATATATACATATATATATACATATATATATATATATATATATTTTATATATATATATATATATATATATATATATATATATATATATATATATATATATGTATATATATATATGTATATATATATATATATATATATATATATATATATATATATATATATACACACGTATATATACAAATGTATATATGTATTATAATAATTATATTTATTATGTTATAATAAATATAATTATTAATCTTATTTACTATAAATAAGATATCTTATATATTCCCAATATTATATATATTATGTATATATAATATATAAACATTTAATATATATATATATATATATATATATATATATATATATATATATATATATATACATTTGTCGTCATTATTTGTGAGTAGAAACAAAATTTATGAACTTATTTGTTGAACACATTGCAGCAAAGATTGTTTGTATATATATATACACACACCCATATATATATATATATATATATATATATATATATATATATATATATATATATATATATATATATATATATATATATATATATATATATATATATATACATTTGTCATTATTATTTGTGAATAGAGTTTTGAGTGCTATTTTAAATAAAGAAATGTATTTAATGTTGCGATTATATCATACACTGTGCATATAAAGAAGACTTTAAGAAAAACTTGAGGTTATTGGTAATTGGGATATCAAAAGCTGCATTGTCAATCTTTAAAAATATCCATAGAGGCTAAAAAGTGACCTATTAGGTTGAATTTGAGTAAAGGATAAGTGTTGCAAAGAAGTCTTAATATTATTTCAAAATTTTATAAATAAAATTCTGAGAAAATTATTAAACTGCTTAAGTAGTTAAACCAATTGCTTTATTCATTACACTATATGATATTATTATTTAAAGTAAAAAATTACACAACTTTATTTGATTTTCACTTTATTATTGCATCTTTCAATCATACTGCAATACAGTTCAAATGCTAGAATGTTTTTAACAAGTTTTTTGGTTATCAAAATAACCTCTATTAAATGTCTAATATTTATTTGATGGAGTTTAAAAACCCTTTTTAGGTTTTTTTTTTCTAAACAAATTTGTTCTTTTTAATATAGAATTGATTTAATGCAAGTTTACAGCTCCTTTTTTATGCAAGTTTATAGCTCTTTTGAATAGGATGAGCGAACACAAAAACAAAGTGGTAAAAGATAGTCTAGAAAATTAATAGTCACTTCTTTAAACATCTCGGTCAAATCAAAATAAAAACTATAAATTTTAGATAAAAAATCTTCAACTGCACAATAAGTAATTTTTATAACTTCTTTTTATTAACTTGAATGATAGCTTTGTATTATCTTTTAAAAATATGTACTTTGAAAGCTCATCCCTGATAAATGGAAGGCAGCAAAGGTCGTTTATAACAATAAGAATGTTTTTTAAAACAAAACTGATAAATCTCTTTGCAGAACACGTTGCAGCAATGATTGTTTGTAACAAAAAGATTGTTTTTTTGAACAAAATTCATGAACTTATTTGTAGAACACGTTTGCTTAACATCGGTTTATGCATTTATTTTCTGTATTAAAGAGAAACTCTTTGAATGCAGCTTTGTTATGTAGCGTTTGAATTTATGCTCCGACTTACATTTAATCATACACTGGTGAAAGTTAATTTGGTTAAAACGTTTTTACTTCCAATTTTAACGAGAAAAGAACTGAAATCATTGATAAACTTGAGTCTACAAAAAAATATATCTGATTCTAGATCTAATATGAAGTAATCGAAGCACTGTTTATCTGTTGAGTTCGCCATTTTTTAGATTTTTGTGCACTTATTGGTAGTCTGAGCACGATAAATAAACGATTTTCAACATAAATTCAAAGTTTTAATTTTTATTGTTTAAAAACAATAGAATCTTGCGAAAACGGCCCAACTGGCCGGACTATCTGATACTATGACTATGATTTTACAATTAATAGTTCTGCATTATTTTATGAATTAGTTACAAAAAAAATTATGAATCAGTCTTTTATTGTTTTCGAATTACAATCCTTTAAAGTTCTCTGAGGTAAAAAAAATATGAGTGCGCTAATACTTTATATATATATATATATATATACATATATATATATATATATATATATATATATATATATATATATATATATATATATATATATATATATATATATATATATATATATATATATATATATATATATATATATGTATATATATGTATATATATATATATATATATATATATATATATATATATATATATATATATATATAATAGGGTGGCTCTTAAAAATAAAAGTTTTGAAATCATCTCCTGACACCTTTCCAGGAAAGGTGCCAGGTGATGATTTCAGGAGAAACAGATTTTAGAAGATTTTAATGCACATTTCCCAGCAGAAATGTGCGTTAAGTTAATTGACAACTTACTGAAAGAAAAAAAGAAAAAATTTTATTTTATTTATTTTTTTTGTTGTAAATCGTGGTACAACTCTCTCTCAACTCTTTAACTCCGAAACACGAACCTTGACAAGCAAGGCCGCTGCGCGGAGAAATTAAATTGAGCACAGTACTTCCAGGGACGTGGTAGGAGTCGAACTCCAAACCTCTTGCTTACAAAGCGAGCGCACTTACCACTACACCACTACCGCATTGATAACACCACAACCGGTTGACAGAAGACTTCAAAAGTTTAAGGTTGTATGAGTCAGGAAAACATGTAGATGGGAGAAAGTTCCAAAGAGTTAAAGTGTGGGAAAAAAATAGATGAATAAAAGTTTTTGGAGCATGCAGAGACAGATACAGTAAAAGAATGAGACTTTGATGAATGACACGGCAAGCGAAAACAAGTTTTAGTTGATGGAACTAGAGATGATAGCTCCTTTGAGCAGTAACTATGATTATGTATTTGTAGAAAAGAGAAAGAGATGCAACTTTACGACGATGGGAAAGAGTCTCAAGCTTATCAAGCAGATAGACTTGTTCAACTAGGTTTACAATGCGTTTTGGGTCCAACTAGGTACACAATGCGTTTTAAGGACCTTGTCTAGAAGAGAAAGAGCATCATTAGAAGAACCAGCCCAAATATGACAACAGTATTCCATACAGGGACAAATGAGAGATAGAGGTAGAGAATGGAATCAGGGCAGAGATAAAGAGAAGACGAATTATATTTAGAAGGATTAAGGATTTTTCAGAGCTCATCAAATTCAAATGAACTTGCAAATAACTTGGCTCTATTGATAAGCAAAAGTTGTAAAGCTGTTCAGGCGATTGCCGAAAAAAAATGAAATCCTTCAAGTTTATATAAAACTGAACATGGTAAAGAACTGTCATATATATTAAATAATAAGACCAGATAGAACAGCTTACTTTTTATGCTCGAGCGTTTTTATAAAATAAAAAAATTGAAATTGGCAGAGGTTTTGTCAGAGAGATGCTGTTCTTCTATCAGTTGATACTACCTTTGGGTAAAATTGGGCATAAGACCATTAAGTAACAAATACTCAAAAGAATATTTGTAAAAACTGGTATTAATACCGGTATATCAGTTTTCAGTAAAACTAGTACCAAAAAATCAGTATTTAATTTTAGGTCCGGTATTGGAAGCCCTAGTGTTTCTACTTTATCAGAGGCACCAATTCAACCTTGTTGATCTTTTTCTCTCTAAGAGTGGAGGAAAGCTCTTCAGCAATTGAAATTATAGTGAGTACATTGGAATGTGCGGTATCAAAAAGATCCCAAAGACAGTCAATAAATTCATCTTCTTTCATCTTATGTCCTTCAGTCTTTTATATTTTATGTTTCAAAAGACCTTTTCATTAAGCAAACATTGCCTCCAATTCGTCTATACAATTTTTGGCCGCTTGAACAGTTATTCCAGTCTTACTTCAAAATGCTGACACATCTTCGATAACCTTTCTAATAGAATTGAAAATAGTTAATTTTTCCACTTTATAGAGATGCATAAACCGGTCAAAAGTTGGGCTCAGCAATTTGATGGCAACTTTGCTCCAAGAATTTCAGATTCATAGAAGCCAATCAGGTACATATTTTATTTGCATTTAGTTTCCATTATATATCCTGAAAAAATAAAATCTGCTTACTACTTGCAACTACAGAGTTCAAAGTATTAGTACATACTACTTACTACAGAGCTAATAAATTCATTGAATGGAGAAATGATATAATTATTTAATGTATAATAAATATCACTTTTAGGAATTCAAAAATGAATTCAATGAATACCTTTACAAAATTATTCTTTTTAAATGAAAATTACTAAAATAAAAATACTTTGTAAACAATTTTTTTAGCAGATGTCAACAATTAAGATGGCTGCAAGTCACAGTCTAAAGAACTGGAATAAGATTATTTGATAATAATAACTAAGGAACCTCAGAGAGACTATAAAATTTTAAAAAATTGAAGTTAACTAATATAATAAATCTTAAACATAAACAGACTAAATGTTGCGATTTGACGAATTGGACAATTTCACAGAAATTTCAAGCTCCAAGGGCCACCCCTAAATATCGTCCAACTGCAATGATTTTTTGCATAGATTATTTTTTTCATAATTGCGGCAGACTGGAATAGTGCAAGAAGATGAATTCAAAATTTTTATTTTTAAAGGCCATCCTTATATATATACTCTTGCATGGTCATTTTTTATTTTACTATTGCTAGGTCAGTTTTAGGTTGTTGTTTTTTTTTTTAATTATTTTGAAGACTGGAAAAAGTTTTTTTTTTCTTTAGCGGCACTGCGCTATTTGACAGTTGATGTAGCAGCATTCCTTTGCAGCAGCAGGCTATAAGATAATCGATGTAGCAACACTCCTTTGCAGTAGCAGGCTATAAGATAGTCGATGTAGCAATACTCTGCGCATGTTTTACAATTAAAAAATAAGTATAAAAACATTCAGAATGTTTTTGTTTTTAAAAAATAAAATTAAAAAAATTTAGAACATTTTAATCTTTTAATTTGCGTTTTTGTGTTTTTTTAAAAAAACATTAAATTTAATTAGCTTCCTCAATTAAATTAATGTGTTTTGTTGTAATCTAACCTTAATTTTGTCAGTTTAAATACAAAAGACAAGCTAACGACTGTTTTCTACCACAAACTGTATATTTAATGCCTTTACTATAGGAATATATATATATATATATATATATATATATATATATATATATATATATATATATATATATATATATATATATATATATATATATATATGTATATATATATATATATATATATATATATATATATATATATATATATATATATATATATATATACATACATTATTTAATATTATTATTACTTCTTAGGATCTATATATATGTATATATATATATATATATATATACATACATCATTTAATATTATTATTACTTCTTAGGATCCAGTACTATTTTCTGGAACACTGCGTTTTAATATTGATCCATTTAATCAATTTGATGATGCTGAAATTTGGAGGGTTTTAGAAATTTTAAATTTAAAATTGCATGTTTCAAATTTGGAGGGTGGTCTGTTACATGAGATTCTTGAAGGAGGAAAAAACATAAGGCAATGTTTTTTTGTTTTTTTTTTGGTTATCTTTTTAAAGCAGAGGAGCTGCATTAGTAGATACTGTTTTTTTGAAATTTTTCTTGCAACCATCTCTCTTTTTTTTAAATTTAAATCACGAACCTTAATAAACAAGCTACACCAAGAAACAATTTAGGCGCAGTGTTACTCAGGATTGAGTTGGAACTTGGATCTACTTGCTTAATTTGAGAATTATATACTGCATCACTACCAAAATTAATATTAGGAATTTTATTAATTGTTAATTTTTGGTTGTAATGTTGTGACAGCACACAAAGCTAATGCTATGCTACCTCTTTTGCTTATTAATTAAATAATATAACTTTTATTTATCCTAAGTAAAAATATTAATATAAAAGTAAAAGATAGAATAATAATTGGTTTTCTTTGGTCATTTGTTTAATTCACATTTATATACTAAATGAAGTTTTCCTAAATAATTGCAATGATTGTTCATTTATTTATATTTGATAATATTGTATAATAATAAATACTAATAAGCATAATAATAGTAAAAAAGTTAATAAAAAAAATTTTATGTCAAACTTTTTTTTTTAAATATTTTATGAAAATTTTTTGATTCTTCTTAATTTAGTAATATTTTTGTACTAATGCACTACACCATCACACCTGTAGACATCAACAGTCTTCAAAATCAGTATATCAAATATTTGTTCTTTGTTGCATATGATCTACATACAGAGTGATTAGAGTGTTAGTTGTTCTCTCCTTGCCCTCCGAGCATTTACTTCGTTCTTTACCTTTACAAAAGTCTTATCACTCATTTTGTATTTTCTTATGATTTTTTTTTTTATTCAATGACACCATCTTCTAACTGTTTTTATTATCACATCTCTCAGGTCTACGAAACTGGACGGCTCCGTTGGTCACTTTTTGCGATCATTATGTCGCATAAACAAGAAATATTTTATGAAAATTTTTTGATTCTTCTTAATTTAGTAATATTTTTGTTTTTGTTTTATATTGTAAAAAAAAATATTATAAAATTTAATACCTTGAAAGATTTTTAAGATTTTTATTTTAAACTTATAATCATAACACATAAAACATTTTTTTCATAGTTTAAAAATAACAATATAAACTGTTGCATCTTTTTTCATTTAAATAATTCATTCTTGTAATTCTGAGTGACGCTTGCAATATTTTAAATATATTTTTTATTTCAACTTATTGAAAGTTCTTGTTATTTTGAAAAATACTTTTTTTTTATTTTTTTATTTTTTTGCATTCTGAAATACAGTTTTCATGACTGGAAAATGAACTTACAATCAAGTTTTCAAAGTATTAATACTTTTTAAACCAAACCCACAATCAAGTTTTCAACTTAGTGAATTGTTAAGGATTAAAATGGAAATGATAGCATTTCCATTTTCATCCTTAACATTTTAAAGGTTTTTACTAACTTTGTTGGGTTTCTTTTAAAAAGCTGCATGTTGTTTTGAATTTTGTTTGAATTTTGCATGTTCAAAACTAATTAAAGTGATAAATTAATAAAAACTAATCTAAAATATTTGGTACACTAGTTATAAATTGGCAGTTAGTTGCAAATAAATTGATTATGCAAATGATATCATATACCTTATAATACAAAAACTTTACAAAATAGATCCTATGCCAATATTCACAGAGAGAGCATTATTTTAAACCCATTTGTTTCATTATCAGGTGAGTCAGTGTTCAATGAGACTTTAAAGGTTATATTTTTAAAAAGTGAAATTTGATACTTTTATTTTTAGGAGAGGTTTTATTGTGTCAGGTAATTTTTGCTGGCAAAGACATAACATGCCAGATGACACCATAAAAAGCTGTCAATAACATCAAAAACTTGATCATCTTAAAAACAGAGAATGGTTACAAAACAACTGCTTGTTATTGGTTACGTATAGGAAGCTTGATAAACATCTTATTAAGCAAGGTATAGAGCACCCAGTCATGCTTCTAACAGATTGTCATTCATTAGGGTTTGCCTTTAAAGTTTCTAAATTTCTGCATGAAAAGCAAATCAATTTATTTGTTTCTCTATCTGATACTACTGAAGTCATGCAGCTACGTGACCAAGCACCAAATCAACAGCTTCATCAACACTACAACACAAGGGATAAACTTTCTTCAGGTTAAGTTTCAACAAACAGCAGCTCTCCTTGTGAATAAAACTGATGATGCCGAACTTAATGTTTTTTTACTATCTGCTACTCCTAAGAAAACAAGAAGAGTGATTTAAAAACAAAAACAAACACAAACAATAGTTCATCCAAATATTGGAAATCAATGTATGAAATGTCTCAATTATTCATTGAGGAATCATATGAGAAAAACCTAATTTTAGTACCTGGTTTACTTTCAGTTAATAGAATTAAACCCATAGAGGCTAATCAAAAAAAAAATAACTAGGGTTACTAATGTGTATGGATCTATTGATCCATACACAAGATCAAGATGTGCTATCATAAGTATCTTGAAACAGGAAATCAGAAAAAGGTTTCATGAGACAGAGGAGAGAAAGAAACATATGCTCCAACAAAAGAAATTGTTTTATCGCTGCAAAATTTTAAAAGGATGTCCACAATCCCATTTTGTTCTTAAGTCTGTATGTACTAAAATGGCTTGTCACATAGAAAACACAAAACCAACAATGAATCTTTTTGCATCTGCATCATCATCCTATGGCTCTTCAAAAAAGAAACTTTATTGTGATTCTGAGTCAGATTTTTCAAGCCTTAATGACTCAGATTTTTAGATAAAATTGTTTAGTGCTATATTTTCATTTATGTACCTTTTATGTTATTCAAAAATTATGTTGTTGTATTAAAACTAAATTTTTCATCTTTTTTTTTCCTAATCCTATTATATTATTCAAAATATACGTTATTTTATTAAAAGCTATGTTTCTCTATTTTAAGCATAGTAGCCACTTCAACCTTATTCACCGATTGCATTAAGATAAAGCAAAATAAACGTTTTTTATTTTTAGGTATTAGTTAATATTGTATTGGTGAAAACAGGTCTAGTATTATCTAAAAATGAGATGATTGCAAACTTAAAATTTAGAAGTTTTCAAACATCAAGAAATGCATAAATTCAAACTTTTGAAAAACTTTTTTTGGAGCTTATGATTCTTTTACATTCACTTTTTTGAGATTTTGAGATTATAAAAGAGTTTAATTTTTGAGTGAATAATCATCTAGGGTGTCTAGAGATACTGGTCCAATCATTATTTAAAAATTTCAATGAAATTAGTGGAACCCATAACTGAAATTGTGTATGTGAAGTATTTTGGGTATTTTGATTTTACAGGTAATCTACTGGTAGAGTTCTGGAGCATGTTAACCACTCACATACACACACAAAAAGCTGTTAAAGATAAATTTAAAACTTAAATATTCATAAGTAGTATGTGGCACTTAAATTAGTTAAAATAAAAATTAATTTAAAACATTTATAGTTTGATTAACATTACAATTTATTTATTTTTTTAAAGATTTATTTATGAATTGTAGTATGGTAATGTTTAGTACCAAATCAGTACCTGACAAGGTACTGACTCTAAACATCTTAAAGCTGTTGGTAACAAATTTGAGATAAAAAATGAGATAACAAATGTTTCTTATTATAGCCATGTTTATTTGTATCTTGTAAATGTGATAACAATGGATTTTTAATAAAACTCTTTTCATAAACTTAAGTCAATTTATATTTTAACAAAAGTTTAGTTCATTTAATAGTTAAAATTATGTGGTTATATAAAATTCTTTCTAAAATAATGTGGTTGTGCATAAAACATAATTTGTTTATAACTTTAGTGTTGGTCATAGTCAGCTGGTGTGTGTGGCTCGTGCTTTGCTTAAAAAAAGTAAGATTCTTGTTCTTGATGAAGCTACATCTTCAATAGATCTTGAGACAGATGCATTTATTCAAGAAGTTATTCGAAAAGAGTTCAAATCTAGTACAGTGTTGTGCATTGCTCATCGATTAAACACAATTCTGGATTATGACAAGTATATATTTTATATTACAATTAATACTGTTAATGTTATTTTTTTTTTTAAATTCTACTTCTATATTTATACATCTGTGTGGTTGGGATGGGTTTCCTTAATGTCTTAAAATTTTTTATATCATAGAATACAAGAATATATATTTGTGTGTATATGTATATGTGTACGTATGTATATGTATGTATTTATGTATGTATGTATATACATTATTCATCATATGAGAACCCTAAATGCTAAAGAAATCTCTTATCATGATGCATTATTATCCCCAATATAAAATATACAATATAAATATAATAATAATAATAAGGTATAGCTGTAACAACTAGTGTTAACAGTTGCGAAGAACAATAACAGTAGATCTTGCACTGTAACAGCTTAGTTTGTTTTTTGTTTATGTTTTCACAAATAGTTTCTGCAAAATTCAGGTTTGTCTAGTTTATTTTTGAAGCTATTTATTAAAGCAGCTTCTACTATTTCAGATAATAAGTTATTCTATGCATTTTCAACTTGATTTTGGAAAATGTGATATCTGAAAGTATTTCTGCAAAAAGGTTTTTCATTTTGAATTTGTGTTGTCGTAAATACCGACCTTCATTTGATGTATTTTGATAATTGTTTGTAACCCAATTTATTTTATTATGGCCATGTTGAATATGATCTCCACATAGTCTAGATTCTTCTAGTGTTGTTGATTGCATAATATTTAACCTAGCTTCTTAAGGTAGTTTTTTAATTGAGGTGCTAGTTTGGTTGCTCTTTTTTGGAATTTTAAATTTTTTTCAAATTTTGAAAAGAAGTTTAATTATAAAATGTTTAAATTTTTTTTAAATCAATGAAACATAATGCTGTGGTAATGATCAGTAAATGTCTCAGTTAGATTGCATTAAACATCATTGATAACTTTATACTGAATAAACATCTGAAGGGATTTCAGTATATACATAAAATAATTGTTTGGGTTTGAGCAGATTTTATCTAGGTATAAAATTTTTTAAATTATTTATGCGACACAAAGATCACAAAAAGTGACCAACAGAGCCATCCAGTTATGCAGACCTGGTAAGTGTGATAATAGAACCAGGCCAGTGGCTGGTTCCATTATCACACCTAACGAGTCTGTTAAAATTGAGCAAAAAATTGAGCGCCGTAACCACATCTTGCTGGATGTGGTTATGGCGCTCAATAACCTAATGACTAAGTTGACAATCACATTCACGTTCATTTGTAAGCTCCACAATGCACGTCAGATCAGCTCTCACTGAATATGTAATTGGATCTAAAATCTCACTTCATAGCACATCATTCCACACCAATATGGGGTCATAGCTCTTTTGGCTAAAAATGATGACTTGTGGCCTACTGTGACTAATGTGTGCATTCCATCAATTGAAATCCATTTTGTAGGCCTTATGTCTGGCTCTGATGTGCTAGCTCATAAGCACAAGAAGTGAGTGTGTTTAGCTTTCTATTTACCCGATTTGAAAGTGAACAAACGCATAACAAGACCATACTAGATGACCAAGCGGAACATACTAACGCACTACATCACATACTAATACACTACAAGAGTAATCATAATAATGCTAAACTGGAAAACCTCCCAATGAAAACACACCACAGATATTCAAATCCTATACTATAGGCAAAAACTGATGAATGATAGCAAAACAATTCCATAATGCAAGGTAAGTGAAGAGGCTTCATATACACGCTCTCTTGGGCTAGACCTAAAAGCAGGGCAAAATTATAACCATCTATAAAAGTATTCAAAACCGAAAACGATGTATTTAAAACAAAGTGATAACCTTAATATGATTAACCAGATAATGTATATGCAAAAAATGCTAAGAATCACTCACACTTGACACCAGACCTCGGATACAGTTATTAGGCTGGATAGTCTAGGAATCTACTGAACTATTCTACTAGATAAGTTTAGAAATATTTGCACTATACGGTCTTTACTAAAGTTCTTTTGGTCATTTTGTCAACAATATTGTTTTTTAACATTATATTTTTTAGTGGTTATAAACTATTAGTAAAAAACGCATTTATTGCCTCATCTGTTTATTTTCTCACTATTCTCTGCCTACTGATTTAATGTTTTTATAGTTTTTTATTTCTTGCTTATTATTTTTTAATTACTTTGAGTCTGTTTTGTGTGAAAGCTATTGTCTCTATTTATCAGGTAAATTTATACTTCTCATACTATTGGAGTTACCACATTTTCTACCATATTTTCTATTAACTACTTTTGTACTAACCACAAACCATCTTAATTTTGATGTTTGTGAGTGGTATTTACTTATTATATTTATAAGACATATTACACCCATAAAAGAAACGGTAAGTTACTCTTTATTATTATTACTATTTTCTATTTGCTTCTATTTATTTCTATACATCAAAATTGTTTATTTAAATACATGCGCATATGTGCATGTGTTCAGTTTGTCTCTTCTAGTGTAAGTGTAAATGATATTTATGTGTCTAGGTATTTACATATTTATTTATGACCACACCACAATTATATGCATCCCTAACCACCCTCACAAGATCTCAAAGAATGTTAGAGCTGTATTAAAAACTGGGATAGAAATTAGGACTATTAGCTTTTGTAGTGTAGTCCTATTAATTAATTCTAATTGGTTATTATAGCACCATTATTTTTTTTACCTCTTACAACCATAAATTATTGCACTTTGTGAGCTTTACATTATGAATTTGTTACATTAACGACTTTTATATACTTTTATGTTACACAACTGTTTATCAGTTTTCAATTTAATATTTATACTTTGGACCAGGGGCGTTTACAGGAAATTTTTTGGGTAAGTCAAAAAAAAAAACGGTTCCCCCCTCCCTCACCCTATTTTTGAGGGAGGGGGTAACGGATTGAGTGTATTTTATAAAAATGTTTTAATTCTTTAAATGACTTGTAACATTGATAAAATGGTCACTATCGCTCAAAATATGATTTTTGCAAACTAAAAAAATTATTTTTTGAAAATACTTAGTTGTTGTAAAGTATAATATATACATGTTAAAATTTTTTACAAGGTTTGTGAAAACAATTTCCAAGATTTTGCTGTGTAAATTTTTTTATATAACTTAATAAATAACTTTTAATTATAAATAAACTTAATAAATATTCAGAGTCAAAAAACTTATTGCAATATATGTATAATGTTAAATGTTTTTACAAAGATGTCTGGCTATGAAAATAGCTGTTTAACAAAAAGCAGCTTAGACATTACATTACAACTTAGACAAGTTTTGAAGTAATTTCACTTAAAGGTAGACCTAAATTTAAAAAAAATAGTTACATATTTTATATAGTGATTTATCATCAGGTTGATAAAAAAGAAGCTTCAATAAAATATGTGAAAAGCATAAATGCTAATAACATATGTCAACAACTAACAAGCAGTATTACAGAAATTCAATAAAGCATTAGTTGCTTCATATTATAATATATTATAATAATGATTTTAATAAAGTTATTTAGCAAATTGATACTTAATCCATAATAATCTTTATGTTACATAAATATCAAATAAAAAAAAACTTGATCAATGATTTATATATATATATATATATATATATATATATATATATATATATATATATATATATATATATATATATATATATATATATATATATATATATATATATATATATATATATATATATATATATATATATATATGTATATATATATATATATATATAAAATTTGTGTTTTAAATAAAATTCAAATATGATAGTTTTATCATATTTGAATTTTATTTAAAACACAACTTTTAAGTATTTATAATAAACTTGTTAAAAACTTGTTTACTATCTATAGACTAGATAAACTAAACCATTTAGGCTCAATCTACCATTTTGCTTTGCAAAGTCTACTTACTATTCTCTTATAACTTTTTAGGCGCGTCAGTATAGAAAAGGCTTGTAATATTTCAGTATTATCAGATTAAAGTTCATTTTTGAAATTTAGGCAGTTAAGTTCAACTAAACTTCCACAGGTCAAATTCAAGTAATAAAGCCTTTGGTTTAGATATAATAAATAAATCTAATAAAGCCTTTGGTTAAACAGACACTAAAACATATGATTTGGTTTTCCCAACTAGTATAACAAAATATTGAATTTCTGCAATTGTTTTTAGAAGGAACTGAATATTAGAAAGAAGAAATTAAAACACAGGTGCTTTTTAACATTTCAAAATTGTATCAATCAATCAAACATTGTGTTAAACTCAGTAATCAGACAGTCTAACAAAGAAACAGTGATAACCAAGTTAAAATAATTTGAAATGCAATTTTTAGGCTTGTTTAAAGCATATTTTGAGGTGTTTATTAATAATATTTCTAACTAGAGACAAAATCTTTTAATGCTTGAATAAGATTTAAACTATAAAAAATATCATTATTACTTGCTTGCACAATCGTGTAATTAAAAAAGTTATATTTAAAATATTTCTTGTTATACACTGCATTAAAATCAAAATTTGTTATTAACTTCAGTAGAAGAAGCAGAAGCAGGGACTGCGCCATTAATGACATTCTTTGAGACAGAAAACCACAGGTATAAAAAACTTTTGTAAAGTGTTCATGCCACAGTTTCATATTCCATAACATCCAAAGAAAAATCAGTAATAGCTTTTATTAAAATACTAAATAAACAAGTTTTTCCTTTATCATAAAGGAAAAACTTGTTTATTTAGTAGTTTATGAGAATCTGATGAACTACATAAAGTTTCAGATAATTAACTGAAACTTTATGTAGTTCATCAGATTCTCTGATGAATGAATCTGATGAACTACATAAAGTTTCAGATAATTAACCACTTCTCTCAGTCTATGTAACTGGACGGCTCTGTTGGTCACTTTTTGCGACCTTTGTGTCGCATAAACAATTTAAAAAAATTTTTATCTAGATAAAATCTGCTCAAACCCAAATGATTATTTTATGTATATACTGAAATCCCCTC